AAAGGTTAAAAATCATTAAATCTTGATTCAAGAAATGTGTTTTCGTATATTCTATAAAATGGTAATAATAGTTTAATAATTACATATAAGTTAATAAACAAGAATGTTGAAAAAATGATATATTTTCCACAATTCTTGATTTTTCAAATACCAATAATTTGATAATTTCTGACCGAATCAGGTTAAAAAAAAAAGGTTAATCAAAGCGTTTTAGATTTTTAAAACTTTAATATGGACGAAAAATGTTGAATGAAGGCTCAAAAAAAGTGTCTAAAAAACTCTACAAAACTAAAGAAAAACATTTATAGGTGTCCTAACATTTTTTTAAAGTAATGGACAAAAAACGTTTTTTTACAAAATGAAAAACGCAAAAAAAATATAGTTAAACTTTATGAATCGGACTGAAAATACTCTCATTTTATGTCCCCTGGGGAGACCTACAATTTAAAAAAAATTGAAGCCTTTAGCTCATTCGTATATAAAGTACTATGATAAAAGTAAGTTTATAAATATGTCAAAAAATCACAATCGAAAATTTTGCTAATACAATCCTTCCTCTATGAGAAAGCAATATGATTCGATTTGATTTTTACGGAGATTTTTAAGATTTTTATAAATATGCTGAATCTATTTTTTCCAAACTCAGTCATTTAAACGAATTTTTCTGAAACTGTTTATAAAGATATATTTTTCATCACAAATTAAGAGGAAAAAGACGATTTAAATTGATTCGATTACGAATCTGAAGTCACTTTCAAGAAATTTTAGCTTCATACTGTTGTATAATGTAATGAATAAAATGAAATAAAATGAATTATTTTAATTTGCTAATTTTTTAAACATTGTTTGATTACATGACAGTAGAAAATAGAACTGAGCATTCAAAATATAATCTAAAAATGGACTGAATGATCGGGTAATTTCGGATATAATGAGTGAAGATTTTAGGAAGTAGTAGTAGTAGTATTCGTTTGAGGAGGTGGGGAAAATTCTCGTCCTTTAATAAAATGCTCGTTTTGCGGTGACTCTCTGCCTCAATCGTTCGGAATTATTTAAGTAGAGAAAACTCCGCGCCATATTTTATATCCGACACCGAGAAAATAAAGGTAAATTAACCCCTTCATAGTCCAGTGAAAATAAAGTTTTTGTGCCATAAATGTTAAAAAAAAAATTTTTTTAACGAATTTCCTAACATTAAAATTTGTTTTAGTTGCTATTTTGAAGCCACTATTTTGAATTTAAAATTTTCGACCACGGATTTGTATTCAGTGACGAAAACCCCCGAGTAGGCATTGTCAGACAGATTCGTTAACTTTAAATTTTTTTTTGGTCGCCATTTTGAATTTTCAATTTTCGACAACGTATTTGGATTCAGCGACCCAGAAAACCCCCGTGTAAGCATTTTTAGCCAGATTCGTTAAATTTTAAATGTCTTTTTTTCGATCCCCCTATAGGGGTCATGGACATACAGGACACGACATTTTTGTGCTTCTATAGAGGTCAGTGACAGTGAAGGGGTTAACCCTTTAAGGACCAAATGTACAAAAATTTTATCCGAACTTTGGGAGCAATTTTTATTATGAAAACCGATTGCTACAAATTTTTCAATAGACATTTCTTAAAGCTCAGGAACCGCTCTTTCGAATGCTGCAATAACAAATATTGAAAATTTATAAATAAACAAATTACATACAGTTATTTAAAAAAACACAATTTTTTAAAGATTTTTTTTTGAAAATCAAATTTTTTTATTATTTATGGCGAAGGAATACGTCTTAAAGGTAAAAATATCGCGTCAAAAATGTCTAACCTAACATGTTGTAAAATAAAAATTAGAAAAAAACAAAATAGCGGATCAAAAATGGCGTTCAAAGTTGACTTTTTAATAAATAATATACAGCAAGTGCACATTTTTTTAAAAACCTCACAGATTCGCTTGAAACTGGTTACTCGGGGGTTTTTGGGGTCGCTGATTACAAATATGATAATAGTTTTTAAAAATTCAAAATGGCGAATCCAATATGGCGGACACTTTTTTCAAAATTTCTTTGGATTCGCTTGAAACTGGTTACTCGGGGGTTTTTAAGGTCGCTGATTACGAATATGATAATAGTTTTCATAAATTCAAAATGGCGAATCCAATATGGCGGACATTTTTCAAAACCTAACAGATTCGCTTGAAACTGGTTACTCGGGGGTTTTTAGGGTCGCTGATTACAAATATGATAATAGTTTTTAAAAGTTCAAAATGGCGAATCCAATATGGCGGACATTTTTTCAAAATTTCATCGGATTCGCTTGAAACTGGTTACTCGGGGGTTCTTGGGGTCTCTAATTACGAATATAATAGTAGTTTTCATAAATTCAAAATGGCGAATCCAATATGGCGGATACTTTTTCTAAAAGTTCATCGGATTCACTTGAAACTGATTAGGAGGGGTTCTTGGGGTCTCTGATTATGAATATGATAGTAGATTTTAAAAAATAAAATCTCGGAGCATGTACATTATGCAGGTTAGAAATTATAAAAATTTAAACCCTTTTTGGTTTCAAATAATTTGTGTAAAATATAATAGTAATATTAAACTTAATAATAATATTACTAATAGTAACTGTTCTTTGTTATTATCGAGTTTTGTCTGTCTTTGAAGCCTCATAATTAAAGATTAATTATGTTTAAGGGGCAAATTTTATCGAGTTTACCAAAGTCAAAATTGCAAGTTGTTGGATCGGGCTAATATTTTCACAGTAGTTAGTAATATGTATGAATAATTAACCACCAAGTAATATATACCTATATTTTTTTGGTATCAATTTTTTTTTGATTTTTCTTTCAAGAAGGACCCTTTTTTTCTTTTTCTTGTACCAAAAAAAAGCTTAAGATGTGTACTATCAATATCTTAAACGAAAAAATGACGCTTTTTTCGAATTATTAAATAATTAATTAATAAAAATTGAAATATTTTACAACAAAATAAAGTTAACGCAATTCTGAAGTTACTACTGTAAAACATTACAAAAATTAATGTATATGCTCCGAAATTTTTATTTTTTGAAAACTACTATCATATTCGTAATTAGAGATCCCAAGAACCCCCGAGTAATTATTTTCAAGCGAATCCGATGAAGTTTTGAAAAGTGTCCGCCATATTGGATTCGCCATTTTGAATTTTTGAAAACTATTATCATATTCGTAATCAGCGACCTTAAAAACCCCCGAGTAACCAGTTTCAAGCGAATCCGATGAAATTTTGAAAAAAGTGTCCGCCATATTGGATTCACCATTTTGAATTTTTAAAAACTATTATTATATTCGTAACCAGCGACCCCAAGAACCCCCGAGTAATCAATTTCAAGCGAATCTGTGAGGTTTTTAAAAAAATGTGCACTTGCTGTATATTATTTATTAAAAAGTCAACTTTGAACGCCATTTTTGATCCGCCATTTTTTTTCTAATTTTTATTTTACAACATTTTAGGTTAGACATTTTTGACGCGATATTTTTACCTTTAAGACGTATTCCTTCGCCATAAATAATAAAAAAATTTGATTTTCAAAAAAAAATCTTTAAAAAATTGTGTTTTTTTAAATAACTGTATGTAATTTGTTTATTTATAAATTTTCAATATTTGTTATTGCAGCATTCGAAAGAGCGGTTCCTGAGCTTTAAGAAATGTCTATTGAAAAATTTTTAGCAATCCGTTTTCATAATAAAAATTGCTCCCAAAGTTCGGATAAAATTTTTGTACATTTGGTCCTTAAAGGGTTAAAAGAAAATTAAAGTAGTGTAATATTCAACAATTTATTTAAATTTTAAAACTAATATTGTATTTATTAAATTAAAGTGTGGCGCGTTATCCATCTATGAACGGATTAATAATACATTTTATAAATGAGGCGAGGATTTAGACAGAGAGTCCACGAGGCATCATATTGAAACTCTAAATAACGGCGTGATCCTGGACAGATTGGGCCTCTCTTTTAATATCAAAGGACAAGGTCAGATTGTAATTTTATTTTATTGATCGAATGTTTTGTAGCCAAATCTTCATTTTTTGTTTGATGTTTTAAATTATAATATTGTCATATATGGTAAATTTCTAATATAATCATACTTCTTTATATTTGATTCAAAAAAAAAAAATTTAATTTAAAGTAGAGATTTACTATATTACTATTTACAATTATTTAATTTTTTGTCAATTATCAGAAAAAAATTCAAAAAAACAAAAAATTTGCATTGAAAATTTGGAAAAGTTCTAAAAATTTATAGCAGATCTCCAAGAGTTTTAATGTGTGCCATAAACTGTGCTAGATCTTTGTTGTGAATTGTGTTGTGATAACATATACGTAGTGCGCTGACTTTTTATTGATTCTTTTAAGAGAAAAGTGTAAAAAGACTGAAAAACCATAGGATTCTCGGTGCTATTTTATGCATTTAAAAAAATCAAGTATTTTTCAAAATTGTTTTTCGCAGTAAAAGTAAAAATAAGCCTTGTGAATCGTTTTTAAACATTTTTATCTTGCTTTTGTTTCAAAAAATGATAAATAAGTTAATGAACCTCTGACCATCCCTGCCCTCAAAATGTAGGTCAATTTTAGGGACGGTTTTAATATACAGGTCAAGACTTGATGAGAAAACTCATTCTGACTTTCTCTGTTCTCAAAATTTAGGTCAATTTTAAGGTCAGTTTTAACCTACAGGTCAAGACTTGACGAGAAAAGTTCTTCTGATCTTCTATGCCCTCAAAATTTAAGTCAATTTTAAGAGCAATTTTGAGACCTACAGGACATGGTTCTTTAATATTAAAAAGTTTATATTTTGTAAAAATGATCATTAAGTAAAACTTTTTAATGAGGGATTAAGGTGTCACTTTCCTCTTGCTGCACTGTATGAAACACTATTCAAATACGATTTACACACACTATTTTCGACAGGGTTCTATTTCTATCGACTGAAATAAAAAAGGTTCGAATATAATTCAAAGAAATCCACTTACCTCGCTCTGTGAAGAATATCGTATGTGTTGAGGCTTTCAACATCGATAGGTTGATCCTCGAGTTCACTTTTTGGAATTGGATTGACGGCCTCAATGATCAGAAAGCTTTGAAGGCAGCTAAGAAGATAAACAGGTAACGACGCTCCTTCTTCGGGCACTAAAGCTAACCTCCTCGCCATCTTCTCTACCTGACAACAACGAATTCGGTCATTTCTCTTGCTTGTCTATACTAAAGGTCGGCAAAATTAATTATAAATATTTTCACACCTTAAGGAATCGTTCACGTAGTGCATTCTCGGGAAATACGCCTCGCTTCGAAGCTTCCTCCGGAATTCCCTCAACAACCGCATTCACCAATGCATCGTCTTTTACTGAAATGAAAATTCAGTTTTGTTGCTTTAAGTCTCATTTTAAAAATCCACAGAGGATTTCTTTAAAATATTTTGAACGAAAAAAATGTTGAATACTATGACAAAAGGGTAGCTTCAAATATGCATGTAAATGATATAAAACGCAGAAAAAAAAATTAATATCACATAAAAACTAAGTTCAAAGATTATTTTACTCTAAAGTTTTGAACGTAAAATTTGAAAACAAAAGTTTTTGAGTGCAGAAAACCATTCTACGAATAGTAAAACAGTCTGATATGAATGAAGTTAAGTCAAATGTTGATAATAAACGAACTTTGAGCCGTTTACGATCGACGGACTCGTACATCAAGAACCGTTTATTAACTTTAACGAAAGAGTACCTGAAACGTGGTCATAAACACTTCAATGGCTTTGTGACGGCTTTCTACCGATTAGATCGTAAATCTTGAAATGCATCGCGTGAACGTTTCTAAAGTAATCGTCTTACAAGGAGAAGAGACTATTCGTTTTATTATTTTTTAAACACATCGGATATAAAAAATATAAATTCAACTTTAGTGATTCATTGCAATTTCAAATGATGCGAATGGAATTTATTTACGACCTGATATTTCTATTTAGTTCATCAATTGAAATAAATAAATACAGATTATTCATTTATATACACAAGCAAATTAATCGTTGACAAAAGAGCAGGACATTGAATAAACCCATATTTAAACTTTTATATAAAAATACTAAATTGGCGACCAAATAACAGAAAAAAAATAAAAAAATAAATAAAAATTACCAACAGCCTCATCGATACTATTTTTTTAACATTAAAAAATTGATTCCAATCAATTCAAAATTCGATATCTTGAAAAACATGAAGATATCGATAACTCCGAGCCGAAGACTCGGAGTAATCGGTTTCTTCATGTTTTATCATAATTAAAGATAGCAAATTGATAAAATCATTATTTTACATTATAAGAATATTGTACTTCTTCAAAATTATTTTCATCATTTCAATTCAATTATTATTTTCTAGAATTTTTAACTAAAATTCTACAGATCAACTATTTTTAATAATTTTCGAAACAGTTCTTGAGCAATTTTCAAATTCATTTGTTTACAATATTCAATTCAACGAAACTTTAATTATTCCTAAATTCTTCAATTAAATGCATATTTGAAAATAAAAACTTCAAATAATATAAAGAAATCAATTGAACTTTTACAAAAAAATTAATTTCAAAATTTTAACTGAAATTCAATTTTAATTCAGTTTTTATTAGAATATTCTACGAGAAATCCATTAATTATATACAAAAGTAAATAATTTATTGAATAATTGAATGTTTCTCAAAATTGAATTCTCATAAAGAATTTTATGAACAAATTTTTAAATAATTGAATTCTTTGGTGGAATTATATTAAAACTTGCATGAAAATAATTACTTTTTTCAAGGAATTCAATAAAAAATTGTATGAAAAATAATTTAAATTCTGCGATGAGTTTTATTATTAGTTAAAATAATTGAATCCTTAAGAAGAATTTTATTACTCTTAAAAATAATTAAATTTCTGCAATAATTTTTAACTTCTCCAAAATTAAATTTTTTTCTTGTGTTTTTAACTGAAATTCTTCTATAAATTCATTATTTTTAATAATTTTCGAAAAAGTTCTTTGAGAATTTTCAAATTCATTTGTTAACAAATCAATTTTACAAAATGTAAATTATTGGAAAATTCTTTAATTAAATATATGTTAGAAAATGAAAACTTAAAATAATTTTTTAAAAAATTCAATTAAACTTTTTCAAAAGAATTAATTCTACAGAAATAGTTGTTAAAAATATGAAATATTAAGAATTTCAATGACTTAAAGGAACCTTTTCAAAATTCAATTATTTTTAAAAATCCACTTTATGCTTTTAATATATTTAATTATAATCTAAAACTTTAACTGACATTTATTTTTCAAACAATTTTTATTTGTAAATTCTGCGAGAATTCAATTATTCAAATACGAAAATAAATAATTTATTAATTTCATGTTTCTTAAAATAAAATTCTCATAAAAACAACAAATTTTTAAGTAATGAAATTCTTTAGACGAATTTTAATAAAATTTTTAAGAATAATTACATTTTTCGAGGAATTCGAGTAAAATTGCATTAAAAATAATTGAAATTATGCAATGAGTTTTATTATTTATGAAAATAATTGAATTCCTAAAAGAATTTTATTATTTATAAAAATAATTGAATCCCTGTAAAAAAGTTATTATTTATGAAAATAATTGAATTATTGCGAAGAAATTTATAAAAAACTTCTTAGGGGAAAATAAATGCAATTTCTTATGTAAATTATCAAATAAATTCTTTTATATCATTATTCACACACTATAGTGTTCAATGATACTAAATAAAGTAATAAATAAATAATTACTTATTATTTTTAAGTAATATAATAATTTAAATACAAGTACCTAAAATTTCTAAAAAACTTTTTTTAATTTACTTACATTTGGTATATAAGGGTTTTTGGGATCGCTGAATTCGAATTTCATATTCATTTTTAGAAATTCAAAATGGAGGATCCAAAATGGCGGACGTAATTTTTAAAATTCATTTTGATTTTTCTCAATTTTATTTACAACGAGGGATATTTTGGGTCGCTGAATTCTCAAATTTTACTTTCAAAATAAAAAATACAAAATGTTGAATTCATAATAAGGGACGTAATTTTTTTAATTTATTCAGATTTTTATCAAATTTTGTACTTTATTTTATATCCTTTGCATTAGCTGATGCATACTAATTTTTATAATTTTATAAATATCTGTTAAAAATTGAAAAATTTTGTCCGCCATATTGGATCCGCCATTTTGAATTTTTTTTTGACGTCATATTTGAATTCAGCGACCTTAAAAACCCTTGCATACTAATTTTTATAAATATCTGTTTAAAATTGAAAAATTTTGTCCGCCATTTTGAATTTGTTTTGACGTCATAGGGGAGAGTGGGGCAAAGGCGCTATGCGGGGCAAAGACGGTTTTTAAAATATCTCCTTATTTTCTGTCTATTCCAATTGGTATTAAAAATTAAGTTGCAATGCAATCAGACCAATTGATTAAAAAAAGAAAAACCTAAAAACATCAAATATTTTAAGAAATATAACAAAAAAATTGTTTTGCAAAAATAAAATGATAATTTTAGTGAACAAACTTTTATTTTTTAAAACATAAGTTTAAGTATTTAATTTTTAAAAACGTAACATGTAAATAAATTAAATATTTCTCTACACAACTGGCGTGGTGTTTTAGTTTAATTTTGTATCTAAATATTTTAAATTTAAAGTAAAAAAAAAAGTTTGTTATGTGGGGCAAAGGGAATATTGAACATAATTTGGTTAAAAACAATTGAATATTCGAATTTTCTATGTATTAATTCACAATATAAGGTTAAAATCACTAAAATTTTTTTTCTTTTAATAATATGTTGTTAACCTTATGTTTCGTCAATATTATACTAATAAATATCACTTGTTAATTTTTTTAAGGCTTATAAATGCTTTCTTTTAGAAATATAAGCGAAAACGTCGCTGCCCCAGCGTGTGGGGCAAAGGAATTTTTTGCATTGTTTTTAAATTCCATTAAATAATGTATTTATAATTATAATATACTTAATAACAACTATTAAAATTTCTTCTTGATTAGTTTTAGAATAATGAAAAACAAAGACCGCATAAATTAATTGCTTAATTTAAATAATATACATCGATAAATGTAAACCTAGCGCCTTTGCCCCACTCTCCCCTATTTGAATTCAGCGACCCCAAAAACCCTTGTATACTAAGTTTCATAAAAATTCATCGACAAGATTTTGCTGGACATTTTGGGCCACTTATATGAGAATTTTTAAAAATTTTCGAACACAATTGAATTTCTGCGAAGATTTTTATTACTTTTGAAAATAATTGAATTTCTGCAATCATTTGTAATTTCTTTAAAATTATCCAAATTATATTGTACAATTTACGAACTTTTCGTCCTTTTTCAATCAAATTACGGACTTTACGAACAATTTTTAAAAAAAAACTGACTTTTAGGGACTTGAAGCAAATTTACGGACCTTTACGGAATTTACGGACCTAGTTCGAGCCCTGTATTCTGCAGAACATTAAGTAATAAATATTCTATTTTTTATAAGAGCGGTTTTTAAATAATTTTATTATAAAAAAGCCTATAATTTAATATTAAATTTCCTTAAATTTTAATTGACTTCTTTTAGGCCTTAAAGGGATTTTTTCTTAAAAATATATAACTAAAATAACTGTTAATAGGATTTTTTTATTATAAAATAATTAAGTAATTAAATATTATACTCTCCAACAAAAAATAGTAGATTTTTCGATTTACTTTTCTTGCTTTTTGCAATTATGATTGGAATTTTTGTTAAAAATTTATTTCCATGAAAAAGAAATGAATAAAAAATTATACGTCCTGTGTGTTAATTGGTATTGATTACAATTGAGGTAGTTCAAAATAAAATACATTGCGAAATGGAAAAGGTAATTAAAAAATGAAGAAGTTAGAATAGAGGAAAAAGAAGAAATAAAAAATATATAAATAAATATTAACTTACGTGCAGCTTTCCTCACTGCGATAATTTCAGGTTCCAGTGGTCTCACTGCTTTATCTTTCGGTGCTCCAGGTGGTGCAACTTTAACAGCTCTTGCCAAGGCTTGGCATGCGGACCACAGCATTTGGGCATCGCAAGCTCCTTTTTCCTGATTAATACGCTCTAAAACACAAATGAAAATAAAACGTTAGTTCGCTTTATGTGCTGTAGCCTCTTTGTACAATGACTTTTAACTTGAAATTTTTTTTTTAATAAATTTTACTGCGCTGGAATACAACTATACGATATCTCAGATATCCATATTTCCATCCCCTGGGTTACCCTCGCAAAATATGCTTAACAATGAAAATTTAATTATTGTAACAGATAAACGTAAAAGCTTTTCATAATAAAAACCACATTTCACGATAACATATTTAGTTTAAAATTTTTTGAAATAAACACAAAATCTCTCTTATGGAGAGAAACAAAAGAATTGTCTAAATAGATTAAAAATACACAAACAATTATATTTTTAATAATAAAATGTTGAACTAATAAACAAGTCAAACATATTTATTATTACGGAAGAGGAAAAAATTTATTTGCGAAAAATTGTCAATCAATTTATAATAATCACTTTTATTTACGAAAATAGGACATTATATTATGAATTTAAAATATTCCCTCTAATGTCATAAACAATTCGCGTCTTCAGCTATCAAGGAATTTTATTTCTTTTGTGATTTACGAGAGAAATTTCGTTTCGCATGTGAATGGGAATCTGTCAGTCAAAAAATATCTTCTCAAGCATATATATGATAAATGTCTGTTCATGACCAAAAATGCACAATCAGCGTCGAGATTCGGAAAAAACTTTATTTTGACATGTGCACCTCAATTTTTTTTTTAAATGAAATAAAAATTTCTGCATTTTATCTAATTAATTGGGCGTAATTCAATTTCCGGTAATTTTCTCTCGTATATTTGTAAAATGGATTATTATTTATGGGAATGTCATAAAAGTATAGCACTTGAATTATTTTGACATTTTTTCTATTTTTCTCGCTTTTACTACATTCTAGAGCCAAGAAAATCATATTCATGACTCGAGTTTTCGATGTAAAGACAAGATTGAGCTTGCCAACTGAACGAATAGAGCATTCAAGTAGAATGAGGATTTTAAAAAGATTCAGACAGATTAGACAATTTTTTCATTTCATTTTAAAATTTCAAGATCTTGCTAAAAATGCTCGCGTTTGTTTTATGTTAAGCTAGAAATGTGACCCACTGCATTGTACATTTTTATTTATTTCTCGCGGAAGTTATGCAGATCCCATTTTCAGTCCTCGGATCGACTTTAAGGAGCAAAAAAAGTCGCTTTAGTCGATTAAAAATACAAAAAAAGTCGAAAAAGTCATTTATTTAATTCATATGCATAATGTCACTAGAATTTTATCTTGTATTCTCATGATTTTACCCTTTCACTGATTTCTAAATTCAATTTTTCAAAACTTGAATAATTTCGTTAAATAAATATTTAAATAATTATTATTTGGTTTTCTATGGGAAACAAAATTAGAAAAATTTCAAATTAAAACCTTCGGAATGATTTCTTAAAATTACAATTACAACACTTCCAAAATTAAATTATTTTCTACAATTTTCAACTAAACTTCATTTCCAAATTAATTATATTTAACTTTTCTTCTAATTATTTAAATACAAAAATTCAATTTTCCATAATTATTTTAACTATAATTATTTATGGTTCTTTTTTATAAAGGTTATTAAGATGAATTACTGAAAACATTTAACCAAAAATGTTGAAAGTAACTGATTTTTAAAAAAAATTATAATAAAGAAATTCTTAAAATTAATTTTTTAAATAATATATTTTTAAATATTTTTTGAAAGTTTATAGGTTTTTAATTTATACAATTGAAAAATATCTAAGTAATTAAAATTTAGTAAAATCTTTCAACAATAATTGAATTTTTGAAAAATATAAAAAGAAATAATCAAATTTTCATAAAGAATTTTAATTTTAAAAATGAACATGATTTCTCCAAAATTTCAAAAAGTCTAAAAATGTAAATTTAAAAAAAATGATAATTTATTTTGTTCGAAGATAAAATAAAGAACAAAAATAAATTTAATAAAAATGAATTTTAAAAAATTATAATAAAACAATTTGTAAGACTGAGTTTTTTTTTAAATATTGCAATGTAATTTTACGAAAATAATTGAATTTCTTTAAAGAATTTTGTACAGTTTAAAAGAAACTAATGTTTTGTACTGAATTTTCGGAAATATGTAATTGAAACTATTGAAAATAATTGAACTTCAAAAAATTAAAAGAAAAAAATTTTATAAGTATTATTAATAAAATAAGATTTTAGGCCATTTCTTCCACAGGTTTGTTTATTTGTTTATAACAACGTTTCGGTAGCTGCCGCTACCCTTATCAAGTTTATAAATATTATACACTGCAAATAATAGTTATATAAGTATTATTTTTTTCAATAATATATTAAAACTTGAAGATTTTTCATTAAAATTTTTGAAAATTCAATTATTTTCAAAATTTGCAATTAAAACTCCTCTCAAATGTTGATTTTCAAAAATTGTAATATAATAGTTGAAAAAATCAATTTATTTTCAGTTAAATTATACAAAATTTTAATTATTGAAAAATTTTTTAATTGTATATTTCAAAAATTTAATTAGAAAAATCATTCAAAAATAATTTTTAAAAAATTTGTCTATAGTTATACTATTTACACTATAAAAATCGAAATCAATTGCATTTTATACAAAAAATGTGGTTTTTGTGGCAAAACTTGGAAGAAAAGTCGAAAAAGTCGCAATTTTTGAAAATAAATCGAAAAAAGTCCCATTTTTTAAAATAGTCGACAAAAGTAGAAGAAGTCATAATTTCCGAAAACTGCATTTATTATTATTATTATTATTATTATTATTATTATTATTATAATATTCTTGTGAATTTCTTTAAAAATTTTATTACATTTTATACTGAAATATCAAATTTTAATTTCATTTAACATTTTACTCGAGAAAGAAAACTCTCAAAATAAATAATATTTTGTCAATTATTTTTATTGAAACGGGTAATTTTTTTATTTTTTCATTTTTAATTGCAAAAAGAGGAAGTTTTCCCTTTAAAAAACAATGTTATTCTGTTGCAAATAATTTAGTCCTAATGATATTATAAATATATAATTTTGAAAATTAAATAACAAAAACAATTTTCTAAATGGAAAAAGAGTAAGAAAATTTTTTTTATCTCTTCTTGTTCTCCTAATGATTTTTAGAACAATTGAATAGGTCAGGAAATCAACTTTGCCCTTCAACCATTGCACCAGAGAGAAAAGGGGATAGGGTTTGGTATATAAAACGAATTCAGGCAGACGGTATCGACTTCAATTTCAAAAGTTTGGCAGTAGAAACTGCGTTGGACACGAGCCCGCCATGACCCTTTTTTGGAGTTAATTTCAGCCACAGAGAATCTCGTTTGCTCTTCGTTTTCTCTGCGATAGAATGAAACGTTTCAATGTAGCAGACGGAAAATTTGCATTGTCGCTCGTTTGCTTTTTATTGCACAAAGAACAGGACAGAAACAGATTAATAAAAAAAACAAGAAGATAAATGTTTCCCTTTTATTAAAAACACCATTTTTAAACAAATTCTGGTATATTCATTGAAAACTATAGCATTGAGAAAAATACTAATATATAGATACCTATTAATACACTGAAAAAAAAGTGCTGTTGAATCAAATATCTCCATGCTATTGAATTCCCCGTCATTGATTCAATGACACATTTATTAATCGAAAAGTATATTGCTTAAAACGAAAAAATGAAACTGTTTAAATTAAAAGTACGGTACTGTAGAATTAATGATATTGTGCAAATTGTTTCTATAGTTCATCTATATATAGCAACAGAATAATTTATTGCTTCTTTGACATTATTCATTTGAAGCATCTAATAGATAAATTTGAAGAAAATGCATGTAAATTTAAATCAAATGAAAAATTGTTTGCTCTAAAGAAGCGCGCTCTGAAAACGAAAGCATATGCTTTCGTTTCAATGAGTGGTGCTATTGCGGACTGCCTATAGCATATGCTATAAAAATAAGAACACTATGTTTTGAGACATTGACAGGTACTAAATTTATTGAAATACTTACCCACATATATTTATATGTTTATTAAACCTGTGATTTTTGAGATTCCAATATAAAAAAGTATTATTTAAATTCTTTTAATTAATTAATGACTAGTTAAATATAAATTCCCTATATAAATTCCCTTATATACGCGAAAAATCTCGAGCACGGTATTTAACCACAAAGTAAGTGCCCAACGTTGAGAAGCGGATGTATTACATTGCAGCGCGGCGGTTCTCGTCTATCACGGAAGTTAAGCGTCGTTGGTCGCGGTTACTAAATGGATGGGTGACCGCTTGGGAATAGCCGTATTTTTCTGACTAAAAAAGATAAGTGTGTTTGAATGTGTATGTGTGTGTGTGTGTTTAGCCGTTGGAAAAAATGAAAATAATAATAAAGATGTGTATATGTTAGTGTGAAAAATTGAAAAAAAGATGTGTATAAAAAGTGTTGTGTTAAAGGTGTGAGAATTAATTATAGTATATAAAAAACATGTGAACAAAAATTCCCTTTTTTCAATTTATCGTTGGTATATATTTAATCACATAAAAGAATTGAATTAACAGTATGGTGTTATTCAATCGATAGCAACAACTAAAAAATTAAAAGTACAAATTTTTGAATCATAAAAATGATGCTTTTAAATTTAAAAGTTATAGTCATTGACTCAAAAGCATATACTGTTAAATTAAAAAATTTTGTTCATTGATTCAAAAGGAATACCTTCGAATTAACATAGTATGCTGTCAATTTGAGAAATATGCTTTTGTTTCAAAGAAAGTGATACTATCGAATCATTAGAATCGGTGCTTTCAAAACAACAGCATATACGTTAGGCAGCCCGTTATGACACTATTCAATGAATCAAACCCATATGTCATTGATTCAACAGCATTTTTTTCTCCGTGTAAAATTAGACTTTTGTCTGTAAATTGATCAAAACTAATTTTTTCTTGCATAATTTATCTGTTCAAGCAAAAAAGATTCCA